CTTGTGGGTATTGCATTTGTATGTGATGGGCTTTGCAGCCTGGTGAGGGTTGTAGGAGTGTGTGGGTAGTGAAGGTCTGTGCACCTTCCAGATTACTGTGTGTTTTCTGTGATTCACAGTGCTCACGTTTGGAGGTGATGCAGTGTAGCAGGTGGCTCTTGGAAGGAATGTGCCTTCTAGCTTCACAGCTCTAATAATCCAAAACTGTTTGGCCTTTTTGCTGACAGTCAGTAATGTAAAATCAGGTGAATTCCAACTGTCAGTGGCTTTGCTACTTCAGGATAGAGCCTAACTTTTGACAAACCTAAGTGGCTTTATTTTAAGCCCGTGTTTGTACAAGCTCTCTTAGCAATGAGGAATGTTAAAATGCTAGGTTCACAGTTGCTTTGTTGACTTACTGAGCCTTTCAGTTGGCTCTTACCTAGCCAAATGACTATAGTTAAGAGGTTGGAAAGCTAGTTACAGCTCTTTAATTATGTAATATGTGGTTTGTCTGAGAATGTACTTTTTAAGTTTTTTGCCTGGTGTGCAAAACCTTTTTTCCCCTCCTTCCTTTCCATTGCATGTTAAGCACTAACCCAGGGAAGTTGAGGTTGGAGCACCCCAGAAACAGTTCTAGGAAAAGATGGTAAAAGACATAAACTGTGCTTCAGTAAACTTGAAATTGTATGCAAAACAATAACTTTGGATAAACCCCAAAGCCTTGATGTTCACTCACAGCTATATTTGAGACAAATTTTCTTATGCTTTGGGGTGTCAGTGGTAAGACAGGCTGAAAATATGTTGTACCAAACAGCTTTATGCTAGGAGACTGTGCTGCTGTATTTAGCTGCTAGGAAACCCAGTGACTTAAATCTTAAGGAAGGAGCATCACATGCATTACTATTTGATCAAGACCTTGGAGTTTGAATTAGAGCTTAGACATTGATCTGGGTCTGTCTGTAGATACCAGTAAACTAAAGGAAAGTCCACCTGGGTAAATAGTTGAATACTCATCATTTCTCATAACTGATTCTGCCCTTCTCCTTGTAAAGTATGGGGCTTTAAGTAACTCAAAGGTGCAGAAACACAATTCAAAAAGCTTAGAAAGCAATGCAGAAACAGGCATAGATCCCTTTATTAACTTTGTGTAAAAAAAAAAAAAATGCTTGCATGCAAAATGTTCTTTATTTGTGAAGAATGGTATGAAGTCACCCTCAGAAGAAATGCTGTCAAGTTTGTTTATTATCAAGTGAAATAGAGGGAACCGCAGAAACATGCTGAGTGTGGTAGTCTGGGATCAGACCAAGGAATTGTCCATCCACCTCTGCATCTAGGTGTCCGTCTGCCTCCTCATTCAGTCTCTCAAACTAGTAAGTTGCAGAGACCTAGGACAGAGTGTGATTTCTCAAGGTTCCCCTTACAGCCCCTGGATTCCCTGAGCCAGGAGCTATATTCACTTTCTAATAGCCCTTGATGGACTGCTCATCAGTGAATTTTAATAACTGCTTTCTTTCGAACCTTCTTATACTTGAAACCTCTGCTATAGTTTGTTCAGTCTGGGCTCTCAGAAAGTACTTAATTTGGCTTCATGCAGGCTGCCTGCAAGCTAAGGTGGCTCAGGTAATGAGCTGGCTGATTTTCTCTTCTTGCGTGATTAGATTTGAGACACGGGGCGTAGTGTAACGGAGTGACGTGGCTAGGTGGGCAGCAGTGTGCCATGGCCACTGAGAGCTGCTGTGCAGACCGAGGCGTCTCCGCGTTGGCCGCCTCTTAGACTGCAGTGCAGCCCGTGAGCACGTCTGCCTCTGCTTGCTGTTGTGCTGGACAGTGTACAAACATCAGAAGTATGTCATGATCTTAATTTGTCGCTGTGGGATTGCTGGCAGGAGCCTGCGTGACTCTTGCTCAATTGAACCTTTTGTTCAGGGGCACGGCTGTGTGGGTTTGCAGACGGCTGCAGCGAGTCCAAACCCAGGCACTGTCGTCTTGGTGGTCTGGACGTGCAGAGTCTGGATGTGCTCCCAGGGGCTTCCGAGAAGCTCTGCTGCCACTTGTGTCCATCCTTAATCTCTTAAACTTCCAGTGGCTGCTTGAGTTAGAGTAGCTCTCTTTAGAGGCCTGGAAATCCCCTGTTACTAAAGTTTGCAGCTTTTTCCATTTCAGTTAAATTCACGTTGCTTGCTTTGTAAAGAAAGGAGGGGAGAACGGAAGTGTAGATGGTAGCTTGTTATTTGTGCTCATGGGTCTGCTTCCTCTCTTTTAAATGCTATTTGCCTGTAAGATCAGTCTGAATGCCTGGAAAAGCTTTCCTGAAGGACCAGGATGAGAGCTGTCATAACAGTGAGTAAGGCACCGGTCAGCCCCAAGCTGTAAGTGCAGCTCTGTGCTGAGCTCATCTGCAGATGGGAACAGCAGCCCTCAGGGCCAAGGAAGGCAGCTGAGGAGCACGTGTGCAGGCGACAGAGCCGCTCTGCTGTGCGGCCGGTGGAGTCTCTCTCTGATTAAAACGTCAGAACTCGTGTTTTCCCTGATAACCGCAGCAGCTACCGTGCTAGCACAAATAGCAGTAAATAGGGTATGTGACAGCCAAATAAGCGTAACTTGAAAGGCTTGGCTAAGGATTGGAAAATAATCCCAGGTTGTCCTGGTCAGGGAGATGGTGCTGGTGGTGGATGGACAGCAGCTCCCGACGCGATGCAGGCGCTTTCGCACGGCACAGGACGGATCTGCAGAGGCACCCGCAAGCTAACCTGCGGCGTCAGGGCAATCGCAAGCACTTTAAGAGACTCTGTAAAAATAAACCTTGCTTCAGCTCCCGCGAGCACGCTGCCTTGTCACTTGATTAATCAGCCCGGAGGGCAGAAGCTGCCCGACGGGGCAGGCAGCACATGCAAGCCCGTTAGCGAGGGCGAATGCCCAAACTGCCTTCTAAAAATACAGTGATAATAGCCGGGCGATGCGGTGAGTGAAGTAAGGTGCTTTAGTTTCGCGCTGGGAGCGTTGGTGGGCAAGGGGGCTGGCGGCGGGTCTGGATGCGGAGGAAGCACGTGGCTTGGAGCAAGCTCAGAGCCCTGTGGGGGCAGGGGGTGACGGACGAAGGCAGGTGCCCACCTTGCCTCGCTGCCCGCACCGCGACGGCATGGCACGCAGCTATTACAGAACTTCATCTATATTAAATCTGTGTATGTTTTTTTAACCTTGTTCCCACGTCTGTCTGAGCTGTGCCGCTGCTGGCCAAGCACCACTGCTTGCCTGTGAAGGACTTGCAGAAATAGGCCCCGGCGGTCACGCGGCGAGCTCTTTAAAGCCGCCCGGTGCTCCCAGGTTGGGAGCTGCCTTCGCCCGAGCCCCCGGCAAGCTCCCCAGCTCCTGGGGAAGGGCTGGTTGCCCGCGGCCGCAGGCAGCACCTCCCCTCTGCCGGGAGCACCCGGCTGTCCCTTCGCAGCTCTGGGAGTCCCTTTCTGTGCGACTAGTCTCCAGCTTTGCTGAGGAGGCCTGTGGATCTGAGCACATCTGCGCTTCTAATCTCATTTCTCATATAATTTATGACTGCTTTGTCTTCTTCCACCTCGCATTTCTGTTGCTATCACATGTTGCTGCTCCAAGCTTTGACTCAGACTTTTCCTCCCTGCTCATATCCGTGGAGGCTTCGAAGGAACTGTGCTAAGCTTTTGGGGCACGAGGCTCCCTGTTTTGTGGGTATCTCTGCATCCTGCAGAGGCACCTCAAGCTATTGCTAAATCCCAACTTCCCTGCACGAAACCAGAGTTCAGGTGTTCTGGTCTGCTTTGGTTCAGGGCCATGTGGTGTCCCAGGGAGGGATGGGCTCTCCAGAGGCGCTACTGATACTGTTTGAGCTGGTCTCTCTGGAGGGCAGATAAAATATATTTTTAATTTCATATCCCATACAGCTCTCTGCCATTCTTATCCCAGGGCATTGCACAAATCAGGGTTTTGAGCATTAACTTCTGCAACCTGGGAATGTCAGGCAGAAGACGCATGGTTGCGTGTGCTTGCGTTGCTGTGCGTGTGCTCCCGCTCAGGCGCAATTGCAATGTCATTTGCTGTGAAGGTGCTTCCTGGGCTTTGACGTGAGTGTGATTCATGCCACTGGATTTATCTCACGTGTTGGCCACGGTAGCAATGCGTATACAGTCATGTATGCCACTGCAGCACAGCCCATGGGCCCTAATCTACTAATACAGGGAATTTCATGACCTTGCTTCTGGCTTTCCATACCCACCCCAGATGGTATCTACAAGGTTATGGCAAGCTTGTAAAACTGTGCACCTACACCAAATTTGCTTCTCATATTGTGGCTTTTAAAAATCAGCATGACTTATCTTACTTTGCTTAATTTTTGTTTATATTTCATCTTTTCTGTTCTCTCCAATGATTTTCTTTTTTTTTTTTTTTTTTTTTTGGCAAGATCTGTGAGAAACTGTGGTATTTTAGACTTAGCCAAACTGAATCTCTGTTAGAACTTCTTGAAACCTGATCTTGTGGGAGTTCTAGTATGAAAAAAAAAATCAGGTTGGCAACCGGAATCATGGATGTTTATCTAAAGTGAACTTCTGATTCCTCTTGAGGTTTAGTAGTTCACTACTGAATCTGTTTCAGTCCAGTTAATTAGTTACAAATCCCTAAGCCACAGTCTTAGAATTAAAGAAAACAAAGCCCCAAGCCTCTACATAATTCGATGCAAGAAGAAAACTTTTGTTAAGCTAGGAAGTACATTTACATCACATTTTCCCAGTTTGAGACATAAAACTGACATAGAGTTGAACAAACAGCACCGTCATGTATTCTAGATTCATGCCTGCCTGTATTATTGTGACCATCTTGCGTGCCCCTATGTGTATTTATATTTTTTTCTCACTTCTCCTATATCAGTTCCTCCTTCAGAGTTATGGCAAAGATTTTTTTTTTTTGCCTTTTTTTTTGGCTCTGAGCAGCACAGCTTACAGGGAACACAGAATGCCTGTTTTTGATAAGGTTCTCTGCTATTTTGTTTTTAGGACAATGTAGATCAGACTTCAGCTCATGGTCGGCGGGATCTGGTGGAACCGGGATTCCAAGAACCGTCTAACCGCATCGCCCTAAATCACCAAGGTAAGGAAGGGTGGGTGGGAATCCATGCTCATCAGGGGAAAGACTAAGGGCTGCATATCCAAGCAGTTTTGCCTCCTTGTTGCAATTTCTCCTCTTCACTACATATATATATATGCATATGTATATATTTTTAGGCATGCACACACACACATACACACACACATATATATGTACACATACATGTTTTTCTTCACTTTTTTTACCTCAGCCATCCCCAGTATTTTATCACTTTATCACAGAAGTCCTGTCTGAGCTATGGATGAAGGGGACTAAGTGAGAGTAAGACCTGACTCTGGGGAGGGCTTCTGTTTTTTTAGGAAGAGGAGGTAAATATTGAAATTTAATTCAACATTTGCAATGCTTAAGCAGTATTTTAAGTTTTCACCTGCCACAGAGCTTTCACAGCTCCGACTTGACTCTTGCACTAGGAGTGAAAGACAAAAGCTTGCTTTCTTAGCATGGCAGAAATCAGCTCATTTTGAGAGAAAGCCCTCAACTCAGGATGTAATGGCAATACAAGAGCCTATTTAGGTTCTGTAAATTGACAGGAATATGTATGAAAAGTTTAAGTAATCTTAAAAGTGTCTACATTACTGCATGACTTGCCATTCTTGAGTGCAGCTGTAACAAATGCCAGTGCCTCATGACAAGACAAATATCTAAGTAGCGTCTCAAAAGCACCATGATGTTTAAATTTATGTTGGTTCACATGCCTACAAAGAAGGTTAAAATCATAGCAGGGACCATTTTGGCTCAGCTTTATTTTTTTGGCTTTGATATAAATAATAATAGAAAGTGCTGTCTTCACCAGTGAACCTTCTTTTTCCTCAGTTCATTTCCTCAATTAATCCTGATGGATTAATTTCTAATCAAGTGTTTAAAGCTTGTCATTAAATGCGGTTTCTTTAATGCATCAGAGTACTGCTGTCAGCACAAGGCTATTGAAACAAACAAGCAAAAAAATGCAAGTAAATTATTTAAAGCATTATTTATGGAGTGTGACATGCTTAACTTTTTCTTAAAAAAAAAAAAATCAAACTTCTTTCATTTGCCAAGGGCAGCAAGACTGGAATTGCATGACGTGCAAATCTTCACCACTGTTTAAGTTTGACAGACGAGTCCCCAAACATAATGAGTATTGTATTTTAATTCCAAACACACACCTCAAGTTTCCCAGGTATTTTAAATTTATGCTTTTAATTGAAAACAGAAGAGAACACATTGCCACAAAGAAGAATCCAAAACTTGCAGGAGCACAAGCAACACCTTGCGGCTTGCTTACATGCACGACAAGCGTTTGTAATGCCATTTTTCATTCATCTTACAGCAATACAGTTAAATTAATTTCATCTGCTTTGTGATGTGCAAATCCTAGCGCAGAGTTATATAGCTGACATTTTCTGAAAGCTATTTGAAGATACCTTTCTTTTAGAAAGAGATATTTTTTGGAGCACATTCTGTGTGGTCTAAGTTCACATGATAGAGTGAGAGCGTGTGACTGCTGCTACTGAAGGCTGCAAATATAGACATAAAAGACATTTAGTATTGTAGTTGGATGGTAGAATGGTAACTCTGACATTTTCCTAATAGATGAATACTTCCTTTTCCAGATGCTTCCTTTCCTCTGTCAATATTGCAGTATGGTAAAGGATCCAAAAAGTGTGAGATTCGTTTAGGCAGCTAAATGTGGTACTGCATGCAGTCCCTTTTGTGCATCTTTCTCTTGTGTCTTCAAACGAGGATTCCTCTCTCTGGGCACCCAGTGCAATGCGAGGTGTTTTCTCTCCTTTGTTACTGGCATCGCATACGTGAGGTGCACTTGGCACCTGATGTGTGCTTCTGCCTGAGCTGTGTTGAGACAAATACCTGTAGTTTATGAAACAGCTATTTTTTAAACAAAGTATTTGTCACAGTGGTGCTGACTGTTTAGGGCCTATTTCTAAAGACCCATTTAAAGTTTTTCCTAATAGTTTCTGAAATAAAGATCACTTTTTTCAACTATGGGTTGCAAATTATTCTGTATTTCTAAAATGTTTCTGACTTTGTTTTTGAGGTAGATACTTAATATATTACGAATTTTGTCTACCACCATGGCACAAATTACTGTTAGTTTAAGTGGCATGGCTTAAGTGAATTAGGAAGTAGGAATAGTATTTTAAACCTAGATGTCCAGTAGTAGCCTTTAATGCTGCATTTAGCTGTAATACTGTCCTCTTTTTGTGGTTTTGTGGGCTATACCTTTACGGGAATGATGCTTATTTCTTCAGAATATTTTTGGAATAGTAAGTGGCTGTAAACCTGATGTTGCATCATGTCTGATTTTGTCTGCCCAAGTATGAATTACACACTTATGTGCCTATGAAATACACATCCTCGTCCAATAACTCAAAAGTGCAAGTATTTTCACATGGAACAGCTGTCACATTCAAATGACTGATTAAAATATAACATCAGAAACTTCAGACGGAGTTGACATGATCTCATCTAGGTCCAGTGCAGTCATTGTATTAGTGAGTCACACAATAAACAGAAAATTCATTAAAAATAAGGTGTTTTTAAAGTTCTTTCAGAGGGTTTTTTTTTTTAACCTATTATTCTTTCTGCTTGCATTTAATAAGTGAGTCTGGTTTTGATGATTTCTAGATTATGCTGATGTTAAAGATATTTATGACAGGCTATGACTGACTTTGCTTTCCAGCTTATAAAGACAATATTTTCTGGCTAATCCCACTGATTTCAGCTTGTACTGACTAGCAGATCTAAAGCGCTTTTTCCTGTATTTTCCAAGAATTTTGTAGAAAAATGGTTATGTTCAGACTTGCACCAAAGCTGATTTAACACATCTTGCACACAAGCAGCAATTCTGGAAAGATTACAGCTGGTTAAAGTACTTCACATGTTCACAGCAGGGTTTTTTGTTGTTGTTGTTTTTATCCCTTTTTCCCTCCCCCTTGGGTTTGTTGTGTCTGAAATGCTGCAGCTGAACTTTGAGCAGTCTGACTTATTACGTTATTTTATGTGTGCACTTGCAATTCATACCTGACCGCACTGTTCAGTGAGTACAGCAGATCTGCCAATTTCTGTTGAACATTAACTTATAGCCCTTTGCTTTCACTTGGAAAGCCCTGGTGCAAGCATTTACAATTCTAACCAGACCCTGCTTTCCATGGCCTATAAAAATGGTGATTAGCTTCCTCCAAGCCATCTGAATCTCTTAACACGGACTGGAAAAAGAGCATGCAAGTGGAGCCTGAGATATCCCTGCCAACTGTCCCTGCATGAATAAGCTCTTTCTTGTAAAGGGTATTTCAAGTGCATGTTTCCTGCTGAATCACTCTTTTACACAAGCAGATGCTTTATAACTGTTCAGCTTTTTATTTTAAGAGAATAGCTTGTAAAGATTGGGGAGCAGAGAATGCCTTTTGTCAAGTGAGGAGTCTTAAAAGTGTGGGTTTCATGTGAAGCAAATGTAAAAAGCTGAGTGCAGATAAAATATTTTCTCCTTATAGGTATGTTAATAACTGCTTATGTGTAGTTATGCTAAGAATCTACTTAATGTGAACAATAGTATATTTATATCTAAGCCATTTTTAATGTTAATTTTTCAGTGATTCTGCTACTTGTTTCCTTAGAGTGTTAAACGCAGACAACAGGAACTAGGATTCCTTACTTACTCTGCCCTCCACCCCCACCCCTAAAAAAAATCCAAAGAACAAAAAGATAAACGTACACCTGCCTTGTACATTTCACAGAATCACAGAATGGTTGAGGTTGGAAAGGACCTCTAGAGATCATCTGGACCAGTTCCCCCACTCAATCAGGGACACCCAGAGCACGGGGCACAGGGCGGCATCCAGGCGGGTTTGGAAGATCTCCAGAGAAGGAGACTCCACAACCTCCCTGGGCAGCCTGTGCCAGGGCTCTGGCACCCTCACAGGGAAGAAGTTCCTCCTCACTTGCAGATGGAACTGCCTGGGTTTCAACTTGTACCCATTGCCCCTTGTCCTGTCACTGGCCACCACTGAGAAGAGTTTGGCCCTTTCCTCCCTACATTCACCCTTTAGGTATTTATACCTGTTGATCAGATCCCCTCTCAGTCTTCTCCAGGCTAAACAGGCTCAGCTCGCTTACTCTTTCCTCATAAGGTAGATGCTCCAGTCCCTTAAAGGGAATTTAAGGGAATAGGGATGTTTCTTTCTATACAATATCATCAATATCATTAGAGCAGAATAGTATTAATAATCACTGATGTAATTAAAAAAAAAGACAGAGTTAATTATTGAAAACTATAAAAAGTTAACAACAGTATGCCAGGGTTTGGCTTTCCACAAACATCAAGAGAAGTGTTTTTTGAGCATTCACTCTGGAAGTCCTAGTAAAGCTACACTACAGAGAGAAAAAAAATGTCTAAACTTTGTGGCCTTTCTCAAAGAGTTGAGGAAAGAGATGAGGAAATGATCAAAACAATTATTTGCCATCTTCCTCTTTCTCTTTGCGGTTTTAAAAGCTTTTAAGTTTTTTTTTTGCTTTCCTCCCCAACAGGGGTTGAGTTGAAGGAAATTGTAGCCTGCTTAAGTGAATCTCAATTCTGCAAAATGTTTAGCACAGGGAAATACTGAATATTTCACCGTGGCAGGATTCTTTGCATTCAGTTAGTATCCATACCCTATCCAATAGTTGACAGCCCAGTAGTGCAGAGCTGGAAAGCAGGACACTTTTAGTCCAAAGTGCTTGCACTCACGCTGGGCTGTCGTTTAGAGGCCTTTGCTGGAGTTATCAGTAGCAGAAGTCATCCTGCCCCCATCCCAAATGATGCTGCTGGTTTCATTCTCTCCCTCATCACCTTGGCAGCGGAGCCTCCATTTCTTTTGGTTGAGGCACCAGCATGGGGTGCTGTAAAAGTTATTGTGAATGTGTCTTGTTAGGAGAAGTCAGTCTTACTGATTTTCCTGCACTCCCTAGGAGCGAGTGGCCTTCCCATAGCATGTTGGATTTTGCTG